GAATACTGACAGCGTGTCCTTTTTGTTTTCTTTTAGGAACTCTATATTGCTGTGGGAATATCTGGAGCAATCCAACACTTGGCCGGGATGAAGGACAGCAAGGTGTGTCAGAGCTGGGTGTGCTGGAAGAGATGTTTGAGGAAGGAGGAGAGTTTACTTCTTTCCACTTTTTCCAATGTTACAATTGTCACTTTGTCTGCTGCCTTAAAATGTGCCTCACTAAGCCTTGCTGAGTGAGGTTGTGGTGGAACACCTAACGCAGTAGAACTGCTGCACTAAGCCTGAAGTATTAAGCAAGATCTAATTCAGTTATTTATTTAAAGAACAGCAACAAAAGACACGCACACGTGCCTGAATTCTATACAATAGATGCATTTGCATTTATTTCAGAGTATGACATATTAATTCATGCATAACAATGTGTAATTTGAATTATGAACTTACTATTCCATAAAGTAAAAGATGTCTCTGACATTCCTGCATTTAGCTATTCAAATGGAAACCGATTATAAAATGGCAGTAAAACTTTAAAAGGTTTAACTCATTAGTTGCTGAAGCAAATAATCTGCAACTGGAATTGCCAGTTTGGTCCACAGTGCAATGTTTAGAAAGAACAGCAGAATTACTTGCTGCGTCCCACTGTCAGGTGCCAAACACTTAAAACCAAACCAAAATAAAATAAAAGCTGTCCTGCCTCCTGCTGAGGAGCTGCTGTAGAGAAAAAGGATTGATTTAGTTTTCTACTTCAGGGAACTTTTCAGAAGCTTTGCTGGGTTGGGTTTTGCTTTCTGGCAGCCAGGAATTGGAGTAGCTTGTGAAACCATCGCAAACAGAGGAAAAAATGTGCAGAACTTTGCAGACAGATCCCTAAAATCATCTTTTGTGTCTGTGCAGTGATAGACTGCAGTGAGCTCACGTGACTGTATGTAGCCAATCTACGTAATAGGGTGATCCATGCTGCTTTTTTGTTCTTTTTGCACATAATATTTAAATCAAATGTTTTTTGGGGGGAAATGTGGGTGCAGCAGCCTTTTTTGGGTCTTCCCCTTCTAAAATGGACGCAAGCTATTCTCACTCATCTCCTCAGTTGAGGAAGAAACAGCCAAAATTAAGGATTGTTGATGGGCAGAGCTGAAGGTCACTGCTGAGAAGAGATAGAGGTGTGGATAATGGCATCTCCAGCAGTGTGTTCTCAGTGGCTTTAGTGGAAATAGGGTCAGTGCAGCCTCCCCTCCTTGCTGTGCAGCAACAGGGAGACATCAGGGGCAGAGAGTCAGCCTGGAGCATGGGCAGGAGCAGTGCTGGTGCAGTGCTGTCACAGCAAAACCTCTGCTGTTTTTGCCTTTCCAGTGCCATGTTTGATATTTTGAGCTGTTTTCGTATCAAATAAGATAAAGTTGGTCAATAGGAGAAGCGTACTTAGGTTTATTTTCACCCAGAGATAACACTTTTTCTGTAGTAAAGAAATAGCTGCATTCTGAAATTCAGTTTTACTTCCATGTGTTCGAAGTGGATCCTGCTTTCCTTTTAGCCTGAGTGCAGGTGTTGGAGTTACTGAAAAGTTCCCATTTATACAAACAGGAGTTTTGCAGCTGTGGAAACTGCCCCTGGATTGTCCCCCATCCTCCTCTTGGCACTGTGCACTGTCTGGCACTGTGAACTCACACACTTCAGCATATGCTTTCCCAAGTGTTCTGGTGCTTTATACAGAGTGAAGCGAATAATTTTTGTCCTCTTACAGCAAGGTAGAAAATGCAGCTTTGGAGGAGGCCTGGCAAGTCCTTGCTGCTTTCTTTACATATTTTAATTCCCTCCTGAGGTAGTTACAGTATCTTTTCTTTCTAAGAGATGGAACTTACAAAAGTTTGTTGCAGTTGTCGCAAGCGAAGTGATGCGTTTTCTTCTTAGTGTGGGAAGTCTGACTGCAGAGATGAGGTAGAGAACCAGATCTTAAAAAAGTCCCTTCAGCAAGAGGAGGCAGAGGAGGGCCTGGGCTGCCAACTGCAGCTGAAGGCAGATGCTTTTCAAGCAACTGTTGCTACTTTGTTTTCGTCAGTGTGACACAGCCTTTCCTATTGAGCCTTCCACGGCTGTGGGCCTGAACAGAGAAGGGCAGAGAGCTGAGTCTGCAGGCTTTGTGGCTGGAGGTGTGCTGCGTGGTGAAGTGACAAGCTCTGAGAGTTGCAGTTCCTGCACACCTCTCCCTTGTGCCTGGTGAGGCAGGTGCGTGGGCCAGCTGCCTGCCCACAGCAGTGCTAGCTGGGGATGCACAGCCAGCTGTGTTCTCTGCCACCTCAGCCAGACTGTCCTGCCCACTGCAGGCAGGGTATGAGTTCTTGTATCCCCAGGAGCAGCTCTGGGAACGCATGGTGGGGCCTCAGAGCACAGCTGAAGTCTTTTGAATTAATATCCTTGGCTATCACAACCTGGATTTTGCTTCCTGCGCTGTAGAGCTGTTAGCAAAGGCTGCATTTGGAAAAGGAGTAACAGAAATAGAAAATGAAAAGCTTTGAGAGGAACGTGTCGGGGGCAGGTAGTACAGCTCTGCGCTCGTGAGCTGGCGAGAAGGCAGCAGCAGGGCTCTGCTGTAGGTACTGCCTTGTTGTGTAAACCATGTGGTTCTCCTTTACAGCAAGTCATGGGATACAAATGAGCTGTGAAAGAAGGTGGTTTCTGTAGGCTTAAAAACACGGGATTTGTGAACTTTTATCTCTGAGTTATTGCCACTGATGTATGCTACTGAGCCATTAATTTTGTCAGGCAAGTACGGTGGAGGGAGCAAAGCATATGAGAACCATGAACTGTGGCTACCTGGGAATGGCAGGTAGGTGTGCAGAGGAAATGTTGGTTAGAGCTGTCCTGGGGAATCTGTTGCCTCGAATCTGAGTGGTAGCACTGAGGTGGAGAGGCAGTGGCAGATTGCTGTGGTTTAGGCCAACGGGTGTTAGGATCGTTTTACGAGCTGTTGCTTAGTTTGAATTAATTTTTTTCCTCCTTCATGGAGTCTCCCCATCCTGTTGGAGATTCAGCTTTGGACACCCATACTTATTTTGCTGGAAACTGTCACAGACATTTACGATGGGATTTACCTTTTATGAAAGAGTTCAAATTGGGGAAGGCATTTTCTGGACTGCTGTGTTGGGATTTAGATCATGTGCATTTTTCTGCTGTGTGACACAATAAATTACACGGCCTGCTGTAAGTATGGGGGCCTTTGGCATGGCTGTGTTACATTTATTTTAGTAAGTGCTACCTCTGATTTATTTCTGTAATGTTATGGCTTAAATATTACAGGTAATCTGTTGTAGTTTTTTTTTCCAGACTTAATTTCACCAAGGGAGAAAAGCCCCTGCATAATGTGAGCGAGGAAGGGATTTTTCAGGAATATACTTCGCTGTTGCTTTTAGGACTTGCTTGGCTCAGTGTTGGAGACTCCTGTGATGGTGGGCTTTTAGGGGTGGTGGGGGTTGGGTTTGGTTTTAAAAGCAGAATGGGAAGATGTCTGTTAAATGCTGCAATCTATTACCTGCTGCCTCTAGAGCTAGGAGCAATGTCAGCCCGTTTCCTCAGGACAGGCCTGTCTCTGCCATCTGCCCTACACGGTGATCACAGTGTTCACGTGGTGCTTTCCTCTTGTTGCAGACCATTGTTGCTATTAACAAGGATCCAGAAGCTCCAATTTTCCAAGTGGCAGACTATGGATTGGTGGCAGACTTATTTCAGGTGAGGCTCAGCCTTGGGCACGGGAGAGAGAAAGCTGGCAGATCCAATGACAGTTTAGATAGGTAATAGAATCTAATGGAGTGTTTGCTTTGGACTGTTTTGCACAAGAGTTGGCTTTACAACTTCATTATTTTCAGTCTCAAAACTCAGTCCCTACAAACATTAAGTTGAGAAGGGTGGGTTTTGCATCAGCCTGCCTGTGTTCACATTTCCTGAATCTGAGCCGTTCTGAGGAAAAAAAACTGCACATAGGTACTGAAAGGAGATTTTGAGCTTCATAAAGTATGAACGTACAGAGTTGACATTGTCTTCAGACTGCAGCAGTTCTCCTTCTGAGTGGGCTTGCTGCTTTACTGACACTGAGGGGCAGCTGGCAGTTTTCTGGAGAACTCACACGTGGGCTGCCCACACGGCCATACATGGCAGCGGTGTGAGCTCACAGCAGCTGCATGGAGTCATGGGCAGAAACTGTGCCAGCACTTAATGCCATTCCTGAACTAATGCCCGTTGGCTCAGCGGTGAGCACGGGCCTTTGCGTTAGGCAGAGACGAAGTCACATTCTGAAGAAACACCATGTAGACAATTTCCTTAATAAATTTTGTACGAATGCATTATTTCCACCTAATGGAAATGTAGCGCTCTTAAATAATTAAGAGGCTTTATTCAGCAGGAGGGAAGTGGGGAGTGCTGTGAGCTGGGGTGACCCACAACCCCTGGAGTTGTGAGCAGGGGGCTGGGGGGTGATGGGGGGTTGGGACCACACATAAAAAAACTTTGTGGGGGTGGAGGAGGAGAGGGTGCTACCCTGGCACTGCTGTTTGCAGGCAGTGCCTGAGATGACGGAGCTCCTGAAGAAGAAGTGAGCAACTGCAATGGCTGCAGTTGGGCTGGGCAGTTATGACAGCACAACCCCAAGATTACTGGAGAGCACTGCTGTCAGTGTATGTTCGTGCTGGGCAGTGTTTGTTATGGGTGGAGGTGGGGACAGAGGTGGTATGAAGGAATAACAGTAATAAAGGATTGTAGCGGAAAGAGAGGTAACTGTGGGTGTGTTTTTTTTTTGTTTTAAGTTTCTTTTTGTGGGTGGCAGGGGGCTGGGACAAGTGGTGGTTGTAGAGGGGAAGGTGAAGAAAAGCTATCAGGAAAAGGAATAAAGGCAGGAAAGGTAAGGGAAGGGAGAGGTGGAGGGAAGGAAGGAAGAGGGATGGAAGACAGGAACAAGGGAGGCAGCAGTGGTTGTCAGTGTTTATTCCCAACCTCACTCCCCTCCCAGCTGTGCTCAGCCCCTGGGCAGAGGACATGGGGAGCTGGGAGGCCAGGCTGGGAGCAGGCTGGCCAGCAGCTCTGTCTGTCCCTGGACACTGTAGCTTGGTGCTGGTGGAAGGTCTGTGCACCTTGGGGCTAACCCCAGGCTGGTGGCAGGACACGGCCACAAGTCTTTTTTCCCTGCCACTGGGCGCTGTGGGTCCAATCCTGTTGGCTGAAGGTCTCCTGTGCCTCAGAGGACACCATAGGTAGCGGCTGGCCCAGAGCTGGTGGCAGGGCAGGCCTGCTGGGGGCCAGGTGGGTGGTGCTGGTCCAGCTCTGCGCTGGTGGCCATTGCAGGAGGTGCCGTAGGTGGCCTCCGGTGCTGCTGCCTTGCCTGGGGCAGCCTGGTGGTGACCCAGCACAGTGGGTGTGCACCACAGCTGTCCTTACGCCTCAGGTACCTTGCTCAGCCGTGGCTCGGGGGGTCCCAGGGCCCCATATTTGTCATCAATCACCGAGGGGCCCTGTGGAGAGTCAATGAGCGGCTTGAGCTGGAAGACCTCAAGGTTCTCCTGATTCCTGCGGTTGTAGACACTGAGGCGGTGGCCGAGGTCAGGGCTGGCCCTCACTGAGCTCGCTGGGCTGGGCAGCTTGAGGTTAACAGGGTCCAGCCCCTTCTGCACCAGGCGTGCCTCTTCAGACAGGGAAGAGAGCAGCTCCTGGACCATGGCTTGTGCCACCCGCTGCTGGCTGGACACGAGGTCTGCCTGGGGGCTGGCGCCGGCCGCATCCTCGCAGGCTGCGCTGCAGTCTGGGGAGGAGCCCAGCGTCTGGCTGCTCTCACTGCACGCCTGTGTGCCAGAGCTGACGGTGGAGCGGGAGGCGCTGCCCGAAGTGATGCTGGCGGACGTCCCGGTGCTGCTCAGCCGCAGCGGCACCTCCACTGTGAACAGCTCAGAGGAGATGTTGGGGCGATGGACGTCGATGGCGGCCGTGGTGACCACGCAGATGGCAGCCTCAGGAACACCGCTGTCTGCAGGCAAGAACAGCAGGGAGTGAGAGCACAGCACAGGGAGGAGCTGGTTAGTTAAAACAAAGTAGCAGAGCTCAAAGACCACAGCAGCTCTCTGAGGGATGGGTGGGCAGACAGACAGCTGCACACTACAGCGTGATATCTGTAAAAATGATAGGATCCCTCTCCTTTCCCCTGTTACTCATTTCATACTTAGGTAAATTAAATAGTCACAAGTGAATGCATACATGAATTTATATCTGTATAGATACAGAAATGGGGAAGTAAAACATGGCAGAATACCATAAGTACAGCTAAACATATGTCTGCATAGACACGTTTTACACCACGTATAGACGTGTTATGAAATGTACCAAACACTCCCTCCTGCTCTTCCCCCCAACTAATGTTTATGTAGCCACCCTATAATTAAAAAAGGTATAGATGGCGTTTCTCAAATACCTGTGTTGTATTTCTAAATATGTAACAAACACACTCCTATATCTAAAAGTAAAAGAGCTCCCCAAGTCTGTGGCTTCTACGTCCTCATGTGTGTTCTGTTCATCTCTACATAGGGACTGATGTGCAGGCAAGGAAATAAACCTATACGTTCTTGCACACACCATTATCTATCTATAATTATGTATGGATATATAGATATATCTCTTACATATGTACAGTCACACCTATATATGTGTGTATGTATATACACACACACACACATATGTATATACATGTATATATATAGGGGTGTGTGTCTTCATCTACAAATAATGGGAATGTGCACCTTCTTAGTACACCTTGGTACTTATATATGTATATCAAATACTTAAATATAGTCTTGCACACACCCCAAACTACAGATGTATTTATATACATATCTATGTAAATGTACATATTTGCATAAGTACGTATATACATGCACATATCTATACATACATGTATATATGTACACGTGTGCATACATATTTATATAAACATGCATATGGTGTATTATCAATCTATACATTCCTATTTTATACATATATATAAAATATTATATATACACACAAAAATTATTTCCTTTTATAAGCAAATAAGCATGGATATAACAAACACATTGCATTTAATAACTACATACAGTCACACCTATGTTTTTAATGCATACATTTTTAATAGATATGTAGGCATCTGTGTGGGTTGGTAGATGTACATATGACTGTACATATATAATAATACAAATATATATGTGTGCATATATTTTCAGTCCTGTACATTTTATATACACACGTATGCATAGACCTGAGCTCCCTTATACACATTATATAGATAAATACATATACACACATATATAAAACATAAAGATTGTGTGTGTGCACAGTTATATGATGTATAAATGTTTGGCTGTACATATATAATAGCTATCTACATTACATACCTTTGTACAAACACACATAAATATGATGGCTGATCCAAAAGTAATGCCTCCTACCTTACTCTGTTGGCTCACAACATGAGTGGCAGATGGTGGTGGTACAGCTACAGAGCTTGAACCTTCCCACCAATGCTCCATTACATTTTGTTGCCTGGTGACAGCTGGCAGCAGTGAGGCTCTCTAGTAGAATAGCATTTGTCATGTAAGTGAAGGTGAAGGACGAGGGTAGAACTGAATTGCTGATGAAAATGAACATCTAACAGTGTTGACTGTGTTGAAAGCTAGTGTTTTGCAGCTGAGGATTTGCTCTATCTCATGGTGTTACTGTGGTCTTTGTAGTTTCCATGCAAATAAATAGGAGGCATTACTTTCAGAGCAACCTACTTGCATGTATGCCCATCCATACATAACACACACACATAGGAGTAGCACTGTAACCCTGGGCTTGTGGGGGTGGGGCTGTAGGTGGTGGAATGTATAGATGGGAATATAAATCTATAATGCATTATACATAATCATCTCTATCCACACATGCATATTTTATATTTAATGTACAATGCATGTGAATAATTTATACATTATCTGACACATACCTTGACAAGAACATCAATGTGTATTTGTACATACATAATTTATGTTTTATATGTGGATATCCACATCTGTGCCTCCCTGGAAATATATGTACACCCACCTACCTTTTTTTATTATGTGCGTATGATAAAAAGCTATGTAGTTATGTTTAGTTCTGTGTGGTTGTGTCTGTGTGTGTGTCTGCATTGGCTATGTGTACCCATCTATATTTCCCCAGCTGTATGGATACACACCCCCATACCTATATGAATGTAAATACGGTGCTGCACTGAGCTCACTGCCCTGTTCCATTCCCATTCCTTGCTCCTGCTTTTCACCTCCCTGCAGACCCAGCAGGGCATTAACCTCTGCAGGGCACTCAGTCCTCCAGCCTCCGTGTGCACATGGTGCCCCTCACCCTTGGAGAGCTGCTGCTTTGGCTCTTACGGAGACCACCACCAGCTGTGGGTGTTGGGTTCCATTCCCAGAGCAGACTCTGCCATTGCTCAGCCTCACTGGGGTTACAGCACACAATGCAACGCAAACATCTGCTTCACACTCACGTTTTCAAGCAAAACTTACCACTGCTGGGCTCATTGTAGTACCGGCTGATGTAATTGTTCATGTCATCCTCTGAAACAACAAGAAGGCAGCGTGTGAGTAAGTGGCTGACATGGCACAGCCTGCTCACAGCCCCGTGGCCTCCTCTGCCCTTCCAGGGCCAGGTGTGATGCTCAGACCCCGACTGCGCACTGCACACCTGGTAGCCGTGGCACCCACAGGCTGGTAGGAGCAGGATCCTTCATCAGAGCTCCATGGGATCAGAGCTGCCCAGCAGTGCTGCGTGCTGTGCTCTAAAAGCATTCTCTCCTTTTAAGTGCTCTTTTTGATACCGTGTTTCAGAGAAGCGTGCTCATCCCTGTGGGGCAGATTCCCTTCGCCCCCCGGGTCCCTGCGGCCGCTGCGCTGCCTTTCACAGCACTCTGCGGTTTGCAGGTGAAAGAAACAGATGTTTTCTGGGGAGCACTTTGCCCACACAACAAGACCCAAACCACCGAGCACTCTGTACCTGAAATAGCTGCACTCGTAAGAAGGCAATCGAACCTGACACTGAAAGGGAACGCGGTTGTTTTCCTGGTTTCGTTGGCTCCTAAAAGCTTTCTTGGCCCCTGTTGATCTTTAAATGCCTGCAGTCAGAGGTGTGCTTTGTGCTAATGTCCAAGTTTAAAAAAGAGGCCTCCGAGTAGCTCAAGGCAGTGCTGCAGGATGAAGGTACATTGCAAAGCTCTTCAGCTATCCGCTACTCTAACACACTTCATTTCAATCATACATAATTCACACTATGAATGCTAGCAGACCCACCAGCCTGTGCAGATATGGGTTCTTGGACAGGCAGGGAACCTTCAGATACATGCAGACCTCCATCCCCTTCAGCTCTCATGGAAATCTGTCCCAAACACCACAATGCTTTGTGTTGAAGCAAGCAAGAAGCTTGGAAATGGGGTTTACCAGCTTTCTGTGTCATGACCCCAATTAAACCTTCTGTATGATCCCATGCACTGCCTGCCACCCACCTCAGTGTGCGTCCTGCTCTGCTACCGTGACATCCAGTGCCTTCCAACCAAGTCACAGAGCTTCAACAGAGCTTCCAACAGAATTACAGACAATTCATTACTTCAAATCAATGCCAAGCAGCTGCAAAGGAACTGCAGCAGTGCAAGCACTCACTCCTTCAGCACAGCACAGCCACTGCTCTGCCTCACTGCCTGCACAACTGCCTGCTGCCATGTCAGCATGCAATGGCCTCCTTATCCTCACTGGGCTCCTCTTTTTTTTTTTTTTATAGATGTGTGCATCTCTCTGTGGAAATAATATAAACATGCACGTGCATGTATAAAATATGAAATACTACTTTTTCTAACCTGGAGGAGTTTCTTATGAATAAAAAACAATACAGAGTATTGGAATAACAACAGCAGGATAAATATTTCAGCAACAGATTAGGTTTCTGAACAATTACATTAAGGCAAACTGACAACTAACAAACTCGTCTTGGCCACAGGGAGTCACAGCTGTTTTGGGCCATAAGAGGCTATAAACAATACCACTTAACTCTGATGATACCCCAACTCTGCTGAAAGCTGGGAGCCTAAGAACGCCACCGAGACAAAACTGAAAGCAACCACTTGTGCATACGCACCAAGTACAGTACTGCATATTTACTGGGGAACTGCTTCAGAACTTCGTGGTGATTTACCATGAAGTCCCTGCTGTGAGCAGCCAGAAGGATCAGGAGCACAGTGGCAGGAGGAGGTGGGTGTGAGTGAGTCTTGTCCCTGCAAGAGGACAAGACTGCTCCTAGCATGGAGTGTTCTCTGTTCTCGGGATACTTGAGCTCCAGCTACATTTCATTTTCTGTTTTTAAAATTTCTGGCAGCTCAGGATTTTGGGAGCCCCACCTTCAATGCATCCCTTCAGTGCCACGTCTGCCTGCTGCCTCCAGCAGGGCCAGGAGCCCCACTGGACAGAAGGGAGCATGGCCAGGAGGGCTGTGCAGACTCCTGCCTACCTTACAGATCCAGAACAGCTCTCCCTGGTGCTGCAGCCAAGCACCTCTGTGAGGCTGTAAAAGTGCAGCAAAGCCCAATCAAGAAGGGCAGTAAGCCCTCTCTTTTTGCTTGCCAACCAAATCTCTGTTACTGAAACAACGTGCAGCCCTTGGTTGGGATCTGCCTGAAAGCTACAGGATTTTATCTTCTTTCCCTGCGAGATTCAGATTACATCTCCTCCACCACAAATGGTTTAGGGAGCAATAAACCATTTGGAGTACAGTCCCATATAATCTCATCTGACCCGAGAGAAAACACTGTAATCTCTCTCTCTTGGCCCTGTAAAAACCTCATAAATTTGGTGAAGCACATAAATGACATTCTGACCAAGGCAGATCTCTTTTTTAGTTCTGTAATCTCCCAACAGCGACCTTCAGTTGTTTCATCAATGACTGCAAAACCTCCGTACACAATAAATACCATTTGCACATCTAGATGATTAGAGGCCTTAAAAAAATAATGTTTTAAAAACCAGAATTAGTTATTGTAACAATCAGAGAGATTAATACAGGAGGTGTAGTGACAATGGGACTATAGCGATGGAAAGGTGTTACAAAGGGAAAGGGAAAGTGCTCACCCTTCTCTGAAGATCCAAGCTTGCAGGGAAAACCCCACAAGGGAGGGATCTCCAACCAGAGATGCTTCCCCAGTGGCAATCAACCCTTAAATGAGGTCCAGGAGAGGTGCAGCCAGGCTCCACCCCTTCCCATCACACAGCTGAACTGCCTTCTTCACCTGTGCTCCCAGGGCTGACCAGGTCCTTTCCACTGGTGCTCCATCAGTGGTTCAGGGCAGGACTCTACATTTCCAATACAATCATTAAAATATTTTACTTCATATTTGTATTGCCATTGGTTTTACTGCCTTCCATCCCAAAGTTGCACGTTCTGAACCACAGGGTTCCTTCTGCTAAGCAATCTCTCACTGAGCAGAGCAATCCCTGGCTGCACCTTCCTCCAGAAGGCAGTGATCTGCACAGAGAGGCTTCTAAAGGAGCTCTTCCACCTCTTTGCTGCCTACCTGACACTGGCTTCTTTTCCTCCAAGTACCACCATCTAGAAGCAGTTAGGAGGGAAGCATAGGATAAAATACACTTCCCAATAAAAGCCACTAAGACACTGAGCAGGAAAGTTTTTTCAAAGCAGAAGTTACTTGCAGAAACAGGAGCAGTGATGACAGCTACACTGCTCCGACAGCCCATAGCACTGCTCACTTGTACCTTCATTTAGTAGGGCATCCAAACACTCTGAGCTGTGCCTCCTTCACCTTCCTGGTCTCGAGTAAGATGACCCAAGAAGAATGTTTTCCCCTCTTTTTTGCTGGCCTCAAAAGGTGTCTCTACATTTCCCTCCAGCAACATGGAACGTTTGTGCCAACAGGAAATACCAGCAGCCAGCTCATCCCTTCCAGGAGACGTTCACACAAAGGCAGATTGCCATGCAGTGCGAGCTGCTGTGCTCACATGGCTTCCATCCACATACGTGTCCAGCCAGCACAGGTTGGATGGCTGCCTGAGCACGTGGGATAATCCACCATGAGAGGAACTGTTGCAGTTACCTTGCACGGAAAGCAGAGCCGCAGATTCAGCCCGCTTCTAACCTGAGATGAAACGTCATTGTGGAGAAGGGGAAACTGAAGACATGGAAGATCAGTGCAGCAGGTCATGCTGCAACAGCACGCTGTGCTAAGCTGAAGGGCTGAGATGCAGAACACCTGTGTGTGGGCACAGCCAATGGCTGTAGGTGTGGGAAGGTCTGGGTGACCTCTCTGTGCTCTTTTTCCAGCCTTGTTCTCTGTGAGTAGGGAGCAGCAGATCTGTATCTGAGCTGGCTTGTGACAGTCAGTGTGGATCAAACACAGAGGAGGTTGGGCCTATCTCTGCAAAACAGCTGTTTGCTGCATCTAGAAAAACAAACGTTGAGAAAAAAATACGGATATCAAGAAAATAACCATCAGGGTCATCAGCAGGGACAGAGAAGGATAATTTAAGTAGGAGGAGTCAAGAACAAACTTATGAACTGGCAATGAATGAGGGCAGAGTAGGGGTTAGGGAAAGCTTCTAATGCTTGAGGAGGGCGAGGTGCAGGAACAGTGTTGTAATGCCATCACAGGGCACCGTATCTCACTGCTTTCACACTGGAGAACAACCCATTTGTGAAAAGAATTATCACAGAAGGGATTACCTGCTTGGGCAGTGGAAGCGTCCCAGCTGTGCTCCTCTAACTGCCAGTAAAATCTTCACATCCCCGTGTATTAATGATGGCAGACAACTTCAACCTCATGTGCACGATTGCACCGTCACCACTTCTGGAAGTGGAAAGTTTCTACCCTGCCCATTTGGTGAACATGAAATCCAAGAGCCTCACTTCACCAACTACAAATACACTTAAGTAAGTGTTACTTGATGTCTAATTCCTATGATTCCTGCTTGGACAATCAGTGCAGAGAATCAAAAAAGCGTAAAATGGTACCTATAGAGAAGCTAAATCCTCAGTCTTACCAAGATACATAGAATTTGACCAGGAAGTGGAGTGCTCTGAAGATATAACCATTAATAGCAGTAGGCTTCAAAGCAGATACATCCCAACATTAGAAAAAAACCCTATTTATTATCCTCTGTCCTGCAGTGACAGGGCTCTCCTCACACCACTAACAGAGGATCACCTCAAGAACTGGCTTAAGTGTGCAACAATCCCAAGTGTTTAACCAGCTCACACTGCCTTGCAAGCAACAACTGACAGAATCCTTTGCAGTGCCCACTTTGCTGTCTGAGAAGGCGAATGAATAATCTTAAGGGAAGCCTTCTGGAGCTGCAGAATTGGTCATTTTCCTCTCCCAAAAATCCCACTTTCTTCACTTGCAGAACACGTTAGTGCCTACAGGGAGAGCAAGCTTTCTGTTCTCTAAGAACAACCATAAATTGCAGCAGTCCCCCAAAGAAAAACTCTGCTAATCCTCCAGAAACAGAAATTCCACTCTGAATAGCTAAAATCACTGTTCTTCCATGGGAAGTAACAGAATATG